AGCCCAGGTTGGCATAAAATTCATGGTGATCTTCCATGTGTGATCCTCCATGTGTGATCCTCAGCCTCCCGGATGTTAGGATTACAGGAGTACACCAACACATCTAACTCAATGTTATATTTCTAAGGGTAGTGATAGTCCTCCCTTTACACCAGTAAGAGACCCAGGGGTCAAAGAGGCACTGACCTCCAGGGACTTGGTCCCACATGTTTTGCAGTTAGAATCAGTGCATCCAAAACCATACAAGTCCATTCAGGTGAGAAGATGCTTTAAATAGCTTGAACACTTGGTGAACACAAGAGTACCGACACCCGACAACTCAGAGGTTGAGCTGACTGGGGATGCAGGAGCCATTCAGGAGCCAGAAACCAGAAGGACCTTGTGTAATACCTGGGGAGACACCCTGGAGGCCATTCTTCCCCTAACTATACAGGCTGCAGTGGAGGAGCGAGTGGAGATCTGGAGAGGTCTGCACTGAGACTTCATAGATTATATGGGTGCCCAATATTCAGATTTTGAAGAACCGCCTTCATGGACAAGGTACATATCTAGGTTACCTGCCTGGGACACTTTGCACCTCATGGTGCTAAGACTGACTAGTGGGCCGAGGACTTCATCCCATGTTCCTGCAGCCTGTGTTGACGTTGGGGAGAGGACACTAAGTGGTTAGGGGATCCCAATGCGCTGGGAGGCTGGAGAGAACACCCCTCTGCTTTCTTACACAAGAGGCATTGATAAAGCATACTTCTCTGGATTCCAGTTCAGTAGAGGGACAAACTATTCTGAAAGATAAGTTTATTACTCAGTCACCCCCAAATAGTAGAAAAAAGCTACAAAAAATGGCTTTTGCTCCAGACAGCTCACTTGAGATGTTAGTAAGAATTGCCTCCTCAGTATTTTATAGCTGTGAGGAGGAGGTGGCCAAGGAGAGAAAACAAAGAGACCAAGAAAAAACAGCTGCCTTTGTTGCAGCACTAAGAGAAACAGACCCTAAGTCTGATTCTCAGGGCCCCAAGAAGAACTCATTGACTATATTCATCTGCTACCGCTGTCAAAAGCCAGACCACCTCAAAAGGGACTGCCCTAAGAAGCCCCTTGGGCCACGCCCTGACTGTAAAGGTGACCACTAGAGGTCGGGCTGCCCTCTGAAGTGAAGGCCCCAGAGCTCAGACCCCTCCTACCAGCTGGTCCAACAGGAAGGAAGGGGCCCAGGGCATACTCTGCCTTCTCCCTCTGGCCAGACCGTTATCTTCAAGGAGGAGCCCCAAGTAATCATGACTATAGAGGAAAAAGTAAACAGCCTATTGCTGGACACTGGTGCTAGTCTCTCGGTCCTTCTTTTCAATCCTGGCCTTCCTTCCAGCCATCACACCTCAGTGAAAGGAGTCACTGATAAGGAGGTAATTTGCTATTTTTCACAACCCTTAGGCTGTAACTACTTGTTAGATCTTTCTTGTATATCTTTGCTTTCCTGAGAAACCACTTTGAAGATGCCAACATGTATTACAATAGCCATGGATAATTTCTTACCAATCTGTCCATAACTCTCTATTATTCCTATGCTATTTCATAAATAGATGTATGTTTATTACTATGTGTTTTCAATAACAACCATTGAGAGTAGTCAATGATTATTTAATTGATCACTCATGTATAGCTCTATTTGTTTTTCCTAGAAACCACTTTGAAGAAACCAAAGTGTAGCACAACAACTATTGATAATTTCCTACCATTTTTGTCTATAACTCACTATTATTTGTCTGTTTTCCTGAGAAACTATCTTGAAGATACCAATAGGTAAAATAACAACCATTGATATTGTCCTACCACCCTGTAATTCAGTAAATCCCCCTATTACTATGTTATCCTTCTTTTACATTTTTAAATAAATAAAAAATAAAAATAAAAATAAAATAAATAGCCTGAAAAAGGTCAGAAGAAGATGTAATACACAACAGAGATGAATCTCAAATACATTACACTAGTTGAAAGAAGCCTAACTCAAATAGCTATATGCTATGAGTCCATTTACATGGCATTCTGGAACAGCCAAAACTGGAGGGTCAGAAACAAAACAACTGTAAATCAGGAAACGGATCAGAAGTTACAAAGGGTAAAGGGTGGGGAAGAGACTACAAAGAAGGATAAAAGAATTTTGGGGATGATGGACTGTGTTTGTCAAAACTCATAGAATTACATACTGTACAATTAAAGATTGTATGATATCTAAATTATACTTTAATAATGCTGACTCCTCTCACCAAATGTGATGACAAATCCTCTAGAGAAGATAAATAGATAATATCTACATTCTTTCATTTCATTTCCATACTTGACCTCAGGGCTGATGCTGGGCTTTGATTTCTATGTTGAAGCAATGAAGCCCACTGACTGAATCATTTGGTGTTGAGTCCTGACATACTGGACCTTCGGTCCTATTCTAGCCTATGGCAGAGGCTTCCCTTCCTTCTCTCTCCTATCCTCACTCCTCCTGGAACTGGTAAGGGATTCAGATAATTAATAAACAAGACAATAAATCCCAGGAGACACTGGTTTTATCTGTTTGCACAGGCTTCCTGTCTGATCCCACTTGAACTTTTCATTAACTTTCAAATCAAGCAATAGAAAAATCGAATTTATGAATTCTTCTCCTCTACCGTCTTTTGGGTCTCCACTAGATTACTTACACAATTAAAGTACATAAATGTAAAACATAAGCCACACACAAAACTCATACATGTTGAAAATAACATACATGTTTTAACACATACACATCCCCTCCAAAATTATTGTTTTATCAAATGTTACGTAAAATAGCTAATTCTTCCTCTGCAAGTTCATTACAGGCATCAGTGTGCATGGCCAGGGAGATCTGAAACAGCTCATAATTTCTACTAACAGAAAGGCCACTGTCTCCTATGTCACAAATGCAGTTACAATGGTGTTGTGGTATAGGAGCTCCACAACCTCTTACTGAGAGTAGTTCTTTTCCTGGCTCCTCTTGGTAGATTTCAATGGAAGTGTTACAAATACCAGTAACCAGATACCTCTTACACACTGAGTGCTGGAATAAAAATCAAGGGCCACAAGACAAGCCTAGACCTGGCAGTATCCTAATATTGCAAAGGACAGAGAAGATGGGACAGGGGTCAGGTGAAGTCCACACTTCCCTTTTCTGAATATTTACAGCAAACACATTAAGACTATAAAGGTGGTGCACTCACAACAAAAAGGGCCCACAGAGACAAGAGATCCCACAGAGGCCTAGGGTTTCCATATGCTCTCCCATGGAATGGGAGAACAGGGAATGCCTCCATGGTTTAGAACTATGCAATCACTATTAGCAGTCTGCATTAGCGGAAAATCAGTGTTGTCTCCCTTGTGTAACTCAGACTTGATAATAAGAAGTTTCACAAAAGACTAAAGTCCTTGGCAGAAAACAGATGCTGGCTTTTTACTGAAAGATACAGTTTTTCACAAGAGTACCCTGGTGACTGCTGGGGTGAGTACTATCATCTGTGACCATAAAGTTGAAGGAGGTAAGGCTAACTGGCCATAATGGGGTCTACAAGCATGGTTTGTGACAATGCACAAATCAAGAGGATGCTGCTGCTTCCTAGAAACACAGAGGTCCTACGAACCCACTGGCCAAACCACCAGCTGCCTTTAAAGTAGAGAAGAGGCAAAAACTAAAAGGCACAAGAAGGATGACCAGCCACATGTGATGTCACATGCCTATAATCCTAGCACTTGGAAGGCTGAGGCAGGAGAATCACCGTGAGTTCTCAATTAGCCTGGACTACACAGATCAAAGCCAGCCTAAACTACATAGTGAGACCCTGTCTCAAAATAAACAAACGAACATACACACACAAAAAAAGGATGACCAACAGCTCAGGTGGCAATGCCTTGGTTGGTCTCAATCCCCAGCAGCAGAGAAGCAGAATTTGTTCCTATATACCTTGCAGACTGCCACACTAATGTCTAGCCCTTTCACCCTGTGCTTAGAAGCACAAGTTCAGCCCTAAGGCTCAGAGAAGAACTTCTAAGATTCCCACTCCATCCACTGCACACAATTCAAGGCTATATGCCATGTGTGGTGGCGCAGGCCTACAACCCCAGCACTCGGGAGGCTGAGGCAGGAGCACCATTGTGAGCTCAAGACCAGCCTGAACTGCACAGTGAGACCCTGTCTCAAAAAGACAAAAAAAAAAACCTCAAGACCATGTTCGAGGTGAGCCACATTTACTATCACAGGATCCGAATACCACATGGGCTAACGTACCATCGGAATTATGCTGAGACTCAAGCCTATATGAGCACTAGCCAGTTTCATGCCCTGACTAACCAGTCTTCTCCCACCTCCTTTGGTTCAATCATTATCTTTTTTTAGACCAAAACAACATTAGTTTGTGACCAAGATATCTTAAGTAAGGAACAGCCAAGAGCCAGATTCTATGCTAATTTATCAGTAATTATTCAGTCACGAAGAACTAAGAAATTACACAATGAGATTTATGCATCTGAAATAAGTTTCTTTTGTTAACATGACCATAGAAATAATATTTGAAAAGGCCAATGGTTTTTTGTTGTACTGAATTTTTTTCATTTTTAAAAACCTGGCACTTTGTATGAAGTCTGAAGTATCAATTAGAATACTCCCAATCTGTGTAATTGTGTCATAATGACCTTGAAAAGTACTCTATGATAAATATTTTTTTAAAGATCTGAGAAGCCAAGTGTCACGGTGCATGCCTGTAATCCCAGCACACTGGGAGACTGAAGCAGAAGGATTCCAAATTTGAGCCCTTCCCAGGCAACTTAGTGACTTAACAAGACCCTCATTCAAAAATAAAAATATAAAAGGGCTGGGGATACAGTTCAGTGCAAGGCCCTGGACTCAATCCCCAGTATCAGTATCAAAAAAAAAAAAAAAAAAAAAAAAAAAAACAAAGAAAAGAAAAAAACAATTGAGGAACATGAAGGAAAAAGGACATTACCACATCTTGAGATGCATACTGAGGGTCTTCTGGGTTAACTGACCAGTAGCAGTAATCAAAGCTGAACGCCACAACCTTCTCCCGGGAGTCTCCAAAGCTATCAGGTCGACTGTCCACCTAAAATTAAACAGAGTCCAATTCTCCATTACAATGTCAGACACTGGCTAGTGACACTTGTCTACTCTATACTATTCAAGTGTTGGGGACATCTAAGTGTTCCCCAAAAGGCTCACATGTTCAGGGGTGAGATTTCTGAAAAGTGGTTAGATCTCAGGGGCATTAACCTCATGGACAGAGCAGCCCTTCACCAGGTTCATAAATGAATGTGAAGTGAACACCTTTCCTCACTACCCACTTTGCCCATGATAGCTCTGTCTTGCAGCCAGCCAACCATGGACTGAATCCTCTGAAAATTGCCAGGCAAAATAAACTTTTTCTCCTTCAAGTTGCGTATGTTAGGTATTTTGTCTCAGCAACAGAAATATGACTAATACCACTAGAGAGACCTGGACTGGCCATGGGAATGGTTATGATATCTGCAAAAAAAAAAAAAAAAGAGCAGCCTTTGTCTCCGTCTCATTAGGTACACAGTCCCAGAGAACTAAACATGTCTATCACACTCTCATGTAGCTGTTTGTACCTGCACCAGCCATATGAGACTGACATACAAGGCACTTCAGAGTTTAAAAAAGCCTGTTCCTCTCTGGACACCTTCACCACTAGCATTCTTCTCTCAGTAATCCCATGGAGGATAATGGGAGTATATGAGTAGTTCATCCCCTGGGTCTGACAAGGATTGCTGAGTTTGAGGCCAGCCTGGGCTACACAAGTGAGTTCAAGTCCAGCCTGAACTGCCTAGCAAAACCTTGTCTTAAACAAAACAAAACAAAAAAACTACATCAGTGCCAGGTACAGTGGCACATCCCTACAATCCCAGCACTCTGAAAGCCCTAGCTGGGCAACTTAGTGAGATCGTGCATTAAAATAAAAAGGGCTTTGCTTACTGCAAAGACCCTGGGTTCAATCCCCAATAACATCTCCAGAAACACAGGTGTTGTGGTGCATTCCCATAATGCCAACTACTCAAGCTACTCAAGAGGCTGATGCAGGAGAGTCAGGGCTCCTTGGTCTCTCGGTGGTCCCCAGGAGAAAACAACAAGGTGATTGAGAAAATAAAGACAAGAGACAAGAGCTGAGGTCAGGTGGTGGCCTCTTACCTGATGGGAAAGAGGACTGAACAACAACAGTTGGGGCATTTATTTATACTTTTGCAAAGTTAGTATCACCAGACACAAGGTTGCCTAGCAACTAATGACTAAAATTGTCCAGTCAGGATGTTCTTCTCAAGACTGAGGTATTCTGACTGCTTTAGCCACTCTGGCTCTGTCCTGCCCTCACACATATGACCAATTTCCAGCTTCAGCCACTCCCAACATCTCTCTTTTTGTTTTTGTGTATGTGATGGGTGTTCAGTTGTATCTGGAGGATCTGTGTTTGGAGAACTCTGCAGAGGTCCTTTTAATTTTTGATGAACTTACTCTTTTAGGATAAAGATTTCCAGTCCAAGGATTTTTGGTACCTGTATACAGCAATTTAACCTTATACAGTCCAATAATCCATAACAGTATTGAGTTACCAGTATCACTAGGAATTGTCAGAAGTTGTTAGTGATTTGAACCTTTTACAGCTAGCATATTATTATGGCATTGTTTTCCACATCTTGTGGTTATACTTTTCTGCTGGATGTTTAAGACCAAGTTAAGGTGAGACCTGTATTAATCAATTTTTTGTTATCTATCAAGGTCAGTTTAGTCTTCTCAGGAATCACCTTGGAACCAAGTACAGCACCTCTAGATTCACTGTCAGTATGGGCCATCTGGATGAGTTATGGCCTTTGTTTGACCAAGTTGTTTTTTGTGAAAGCTTGAGAGATTTTTTTTTCTGGTGACTCTCCTTAGGCACACTATACATCATAGAATCACTTTTTGTGTGGTCCCATAGTTTCCTTGATCAGAAGATTAGGGACTCAACTGAGATATAGGATGTCACAGCAGAGGTTCTCTTATATCATGGGCCTCACTGACTTGAGAGGGCTAGTGCCAAAATACTGGCTTTCCTCTTAGTTCAACCTACCTCTAATTCTTGGTCTCTAAACCTCAGTTGTTAAACATCCAGAAGAGAAGAGTAATGACATTACAGTGTAAGGGAGGCAATAAGCTTAATATTATTATCTTATCTGAATATCAAATACCTTAGAACATAAAATAGAACCATTATTTTCTAACAGCCATAGATATCCTAATATTTAAACCCTTATAGAATGTTAACAGACAACAGTTACATATTTTTACACAAAAACTCAAAAATCAAAATCATACATAACAATGCAGCATGACAATCATGATGACATTTTGTAACATACCTAATTTTTCATTTTGACATAATATAACCCTTTTAACCAGTCATCTCTATGTAATACATAAGAAGCTTTCTACCTAATTTGTTGTCCTTTAACGGGACATACATCACATAAGTTTTTTGTTAAAGGCAGAGGTCTGAATTTGAAGAAAAGTCTTATCAGAATAAACAATCTTTGTTTTACATTTTGGAAGACTTGTACATCTGGAATTATGAATGCATTTAATACACCATGAGATTAACAATAATGAACTATCATACACATGTGAAACCCTTTGTTTCTTAATTTAGTTTTGTATCAAGAGCACCTTTTATGAGAAAATCTTACTAGAATTTTTACTGAAAAACTTTATCTTTTGATCAAATGACCAAATTATTTGGGTGTCTCCCAAGAGACTATGGAGATTATTGGGGGCTCTTTATTAATGAACCAAAGTTGGCCACCCCTCTATTCATCAATTGGAGTCCTGTCCAACAATCTCTTTCCACCTTAAGAAATTTTTGTTAATTACCTTAAATTTTTTGATGACCTGTGAGTAAACCAATTTTGATATCACTTAGACTAGCTGGTAACTCAGATGAAAGCATGCTTTTAAGTCTATAACCCAAATTGTATTATGATCAAAAAAGAGGAAATCTGTTGAGCTCAAATAAAAAGGGAACAGCTATTCATGGAATGACAGACAAATAGACAAGTAACAAGTACACAGAACAAACATCTTTACAAAATCAAGCAAACGTCTTTACAAAATATATTGAAATACATTTTGACCAAATTGAAGTATAGCAAGTCTATTACAATTTTAGAAATTTATAAACAGACTAGTCAAATTTTGTTGTTCATCAATTAGCAGAGATCTCATCAGAAAAATTCGGAAGGAACAGAATCTTTTATCTATAATTAATATACATTTTTAAATATTTTATTTTGTCTTAGAATACTAGTAACTTTCAGTTCAGTTATCTCTATCACCTATTTAGACCTTAGATTTCCATTTTGTCAGTTTCTTTGTTTTTTTCTGGTACCAGAAATCGAACTCACAACCTTGCGCTTACCAGGCAAGCGCTGTGCCAATGAGCTAAATCCCTAACCCTTGTCCATTTCTTTAACAGGCCCCAGGTTGAATCTAGCTTTATCACTGTCGAATTCTTGTCCAGATCTGGCTTCTTGATACAGCTGGACAGCATGCTCTAGCAAAACACAAACATACCCTCAAACCCAAATTAGCTTTTTTTTTTCACTTCACCTGATTTAACTGTCATTCTGCTGTTGTACTTCTATCTTTTGTAGAGTTTAAAAATTTAATAGTATATGTTGCCAAGTGAAGTGGGAGGGAATAATTTCCCCTTTTGTTTTTGTAATGGAGTTTTTATTGTACAGTGAGAAACCTATATCCTATATTTTGGAAGATGAAGCCATCATATAGCCTCGCTTACGCTAAGATGACCTATCTGTGAAAACAGAAACAAACTGAACTTGAGTGAAGGATAATGACAATCAATAACACCAGAGAAATTAGCCCAAAAGCTGGGTGGAGCCAATCAATATTACCAAATAAAGTCTGAAAATCATTTTAGATTGATCTGAACAGTTCGGGGCAATTTGTCTTTGTAGGATAATATAACCCAAATATGAAAAAGTTGTCATAGCTTGTACCCATTTAGAGGCTACCACTAGACCTGCCATTACAGTATTTAAATGGGATGTCAAAATCAAGTAACTGTTTTTTTGTTTTTTTTTTTTGGTATTGGAAATTGAACTCAGGACCTTGTGTTTGCCAGGCAGGCGCTCAAGTGACTGTTTAAACCCCACTGCTTTTAGATTGTACTCTAAACCTTTATATCTGTAAAATAGCAAAGCTTTTTTATACCAAATAAATTTAGGAATGTAAAATAGCAGTCAACCTTATGAGGAATCAAGAGAATTTTAAGTAATCTTTTTAAAATATCCCCATTATTGTAAATCTTAGGAAATATGATTTTTTTTAACTAAAAGCGAAGTGTTTTTATCTTGAGGATGGTTTTTTAAATTAATCACCTTAAGGGGAAAATGTAAAGGCTTCTCTTTTAGTGTCAACTGTAATGGAGAGAGAGAAAAAAAAACAAACAAACAAACAAAAAAAAAACCCTGCTCTATTCCCTATGAGGCTTTATTCCCTGTGAACAGGTATTGCCTTTTGCATACCTCCAGGTCAGCAATCTAGCACCTTTGGTACTGGAGACCTCTAGCTGCTATGCCTAGAGGACATCTGCACTTGTGTTTAAAAGCCCTTTAAAATGTTTTTCCTTTAAATAATTAATTCATATTTTTAGCCCAGTATACCCTAGGATCCCTTCTTTAAAAATTCATTTATAATTTTTAAAATTTTGTCAAGGGAAAAATGACCAGTTGAGCAATACAAGAGTCTGGGGTGATTTAAACAATGTTTTTACTAATTGAATTATAACCTTGTTTTTTTTTTTTTTCCTAGCCTGAATCAGCGACACCAGGCAAAACCTCTTTGCAGAGGCCTCTTTGCAGCCTCTGGCTACAGCTTCCACTCTATCACCTTGGGGCTGGGCAAAATGCTAGCAACAGCTTCTGTCTTAGTACTGGGAATGGGTTCCATCACCCATACTCCCCCAGCCCAAGCAGCACAGGGGTTACTGCCTCTATAGCCACCGCCGTTCTCTGGGAGTAAGGGAACAGGGATGTGTGCAGCCACTGTGCACATCAGCTGTCATTCCTGCTCTGACTGCTAGACATTTTGTTTTTGCCCAAATTCTGAACACAGGCACTGTTTGCATAACTTCCAGTACCAAAAATCACGCACACCAGTGCTGGTGGTTGCAGTGGTGGCATGGAGAGTGAGGGAGTGCCACAGTCATTTCCTATTTTTCCCCAAGTGGCCGGGCCTGTGGTTGGCATCGCACACCAACAGCCAAGGCTAGACCAGGCACGTGACGCACAGGCAGCTGGGAAATCCCAGCTGAGTCCACCTAGGACCAGAGCGTTCGGCCCTCCCTGAACCTGGTCTGTGCCCCGCCCCCAATGGCACTGTGACTCTCAGAACTAGCCATATGCAATTTAAAAGAATTTTTTGGAGCCACGTGTGGTGGTCCAGCCTGAACTGCATAGTGAGACTTTGTCTCAAAAAAGACAAAAAAAGCCTGGCATGGTGGCTCACGCCTATAATCCCAGCACTTGGGGAGGCTAAGGCAGGAGGATCATTGTGAGTCTGAGATCAGCCTGGGCTACAAAGTGAGCTCAAGGCCAGCCTGAACTGCATAGCGAGACCTTGTCTTGGAAAAAAAAAAAAAAAAACACACACACACACACACACAGAAATAAAAGAATTTATTCAAAGCTAGAGGGTTTAAGCTCTATGGTGGAACCTTTGTTTCACCCTCCTTTTTCCACTTGGGACTTCATTTTAGAATAGTACTCTGAGCTAATTCCTTCATGGTGGTCTTAAAAACTAAGGTAAATACAGGAACCAAGAAAACATTTTTATATACATCTATAAACATGTTTGTCCCATTTTTGACTTTTAGTTCAATATACCTTTCTCCTTTTTGGTTTTTCTTAAGCCTATTTTTTTTTAAGCTTGTTTATCTCTCTGGCCCTAGTGAACCCATTTCTGGCCCTAAGAGCCTCCATCTCCAAATTTTACACCTGATGTGCCAATACCACCTACATGCCTATGCTGAATGCTGGTTCTCAGCAATTCGCTTCCCTCAACCATTGCATGCACTTAGGAAGCATTCCCAGTACCCACTTTTCCCTTGCCGAGGGTCCCTGTTCGGGCACCAAATGTTGGGACTCATTGGTCTCTCAGTGGTCCCCAGGAGAGAACAGTGAGGGGCTTTAGAAAATAGACAAGAGACAAGAGCTTAAGTCAGGTGGAGGCCTCTTATCCAATGGGAAAGAGTACTGAACAACAACAGTTGGGGTGTTTATTTATACTTTTGCAAGGTTAGTATCACCAGATAGAAGGGTGCTTAGCAACTAATGACTGAAATTGTCCAGGGGGGATGTTTTTCTCCAGACTGAGGTAGCTTGACTGCTTTAGCCACTCTGGCTCTGTCCTGTCCTCACACATATGACCAATTTCTAGCCTCTGCCACTCCCAACACAGGAGCTTTACAAGTTTAACACGTTCTCACTGACTTAAACCACCAGTGGTACATGCATGACTGTCCCATCCATCTGCTTGTACACAGGTGGTACAAATAGAGTTAATCACTTTTATCAGTCTTTTTCCTAATGAAATTAATAAAAAGTTATAAATGGACCAAATCTAGTTGCTTGAGTAATTATTGCCCCAATTAAATATTAATACTGTTTTACCCATTAAAAATATAATGAACAAATTTATTAAATTAAAAAAAATTTATTTCTAGTCATGAACAGTTTATCAATTTTTTGTCTTTTTTGAGACAGTGTTTCACTGTGCAGTTCAGGCTGTCTTTGAACTCACTTTAGCCCAGACTGGCCTCAGACTTGCAGTAATCCTCTTGCTTCAGCCTCCTGAGTACTAGGATTACAAGTGTGCACCACCACGCCCAGCTTTTATCAACAATTGTCTAAATTTTAACATGGAAATCTTATGAGTACCTCACTGCTGTTGTATATCATATGCATTTATAATTGCTGTATCACAAATTAGCTGTGTTAAAATTTTTTTATACCACTTTAAGGCTTCCCTTAAAGAACTGTAATAGGATGACAAGTGGTCTACTAAATCAATACCTTTCTTTACATTACTGTAATCAAAGATTCCCTGAGAATCAGTACAAGACCTTGACAGGACAGTCACATGAGTACCGGTGATGCAAGCTGGCGGGAACAATCAAATTTAAATCAGAGCCACCTGGCAGCCAGGCATAGGAATTATGTTTTTCTTTTTTTGGTACCAGAAATCGAACTCTGGACCTTGCGCTTGCCAGGCAGGCACCTGAGCTGCTGAGCTATATCCCCAGCCCCATAGGAATTATGGTCCCATCATAAATGTGTTAAACCCAGCCTAGCAGCTTAGTGGGACTCTCTCAAATTTCTTAAATAAATAAAAAAGGCCTAGCAGCCAGGTGTGGTGGCACATGCCTGTAATTCCAGCACTAAGGAGGCTGAGGCGAACGGATTGCCATGAGTTTGAGGCCAGCATGAGTTATTTAAGCAAGTTTAAGGCCAGCCTGTACTATACAGTGAGACCCTGTCTCAGGGGGAAAAAAAAAGGCCTAGAAATGTAACTCAGTGTTCCCTGAATTCAATCTCCAATACCAAGCCCCATATACACATATACTAAAAAAAACCTACGTAAGAATGAGATTGCCAGGAGTAGGTAAGAGATTATTAGTGGATAACTGATCTTAAGAAAACAAGCAGCTGGAAGGGAAGTTGCAGTGTAGGCTGGCCTTGAACTCACAGTGATCCTCCTGCTTCAGCCTCCCAAGTTCTTGGATTAAAGGCCTGCGCCACCACGCCCAGCTAAGATTTAGTCTTAAGAAACAAAAATGACATCTCAGAGCAAACCAACTAAAGTGATTATGCAACAGAGATATAAGTAAGAGATAGCAGAAAATAAATGATCTTTTGTCCCCAGGGAGTGCCTTTTCAAAGTTTGGCAGATCCCATTCTTTCAGCAGAGAGCTTGTGAAGAGAGAAAACAGATCAAATTACAGGAGTAGGCATGGCTCTGAGGCCAGGGGACCAGATAACCCTCACTCTTGCCAGTCAAATTTCCTCAGCTCTTAGGAACGCTGGTTTCCACCTGGGAACTGACTGTAGCTGTGGTCACATGGTCAATTTCCTGTCTCTCCACGCCTCAAGACCTACAAAGGACAGAATCTTCCATCTTCCACTGGTCTGATAAATGGAGGAAGAAGATAAAGGAAATTAGCTCTAGAAAGTGGGTGGGTAGGGAAGGAAGTTCCATGTGTCTGTCCAACTATGACTCAAAGTTCAGTTATATCTATGAAAGAAAATCTGTAACAAGACTCAGCTAGCAATCAAGTCCCTTTTAAGAACTAATGCTTTTACCTGAACCTCACTATGGCCAAAACCCTACATCATCAGATACACTCTAGAATCCCTAAGGCATCTAAAGCAGAGGTGGCGAACCCATGGCACAGACGTTGATGTGGGTACACAGACCCCTCACTGTTGACAAGTGCTCCAAGTTGCCTCTAGTAGCTGAGCACTGGATAACAGTTGTTTTTTCTAAATGAAAACTCAGGGCCCATGATACAGCTCAGAGGCATAAGCACCTGCCTGGCAAGTGCAAGGTCCTGAGTGCAATTCCCAGTGCAAAAAAAAAAAAAAAAAAAAAATTCCACTTGTAAAGGAAAGCTCAGTATTCAAGTTTAATTGTAGTGTTAGCACCTTGTGATAAAAAGGGGGTTTGGGTTGCAGTGTGGGTTCTTGGTCTCTAAAAGGTTCACTACTACTACTTTAAAATGGTATCAGTTGAAAGGCTTAGAAAAGTCACAGCCAGTGGAGTTAGACAAGGAATTGCCCATTGCATGATTTAAGATAATGTTTCTAAAACACCTGAACCTATTTGATAAGACAGGCTATAGCAGCCACATTTCCTGTACTTCTGTTTTTGGCTTATTTTTTAATTTGCTTTACAATTGGTCCAAGTTTTGCCCACAATTCCCCTTACAGGTTCTTCCCTTCCCTTATCCCCCATTTTAAACACATTCACATATATACCTTCACCCCAGAATCAGCCCCTCAGTGGAAAGCAAATGGACAACACTTTCAAGCTTACCTTTAAATTTCTAATTTTTGCCACTTTGTCATCAATTTCCACAATAATTTTTCCTCCTTCTTTGGTCTCCCTAGAAAGAAAACCCAAATCTGTATGAGAAGAAACATTTTTTTAAAAAAACAATGAAAGAGATGCTGAAACCAGCACTAGGGAGAGAAACCGTTTTTCCTCCTGTTGTCTCTGTAAGTGGAGTATCTGCCTCCATAAACAGCTGCAAGCATCACACTAGGGGCTCTCCTAGCCAGCTTGCTTCCAAGATTAGTACAGTGTGACTCAGGAGCAGCTAAGTCACCAGTTACTGCTCACTCTATGTGCAAAGTACTGTATAGTATGCCTGACATATTGTACTGCATCATTTCTATCCTGCTATTTCCCAATGAAGCTTCCTTAATATATCATTTTTACAGATGGAGAACTAAAGGTTAAAGTAATTATGTAACTTGTTCAAGATCCCATAGTTAGCAGCACCAGAGTGAAGATTTAAACCTAGATGTGTCTGGGCTCTTAACTACACCTTACAAACCAGACCTGTAAACCCTAGAGAGCATCCCTGGCCCAACACACAACATGGCAGAAATCTTTCAATTTCTCTGAGATTCTGAACAGAAGTACCAATGACAAAGGTATGGGATCCCAATGTGGGCATAGTAGCACAAGCCTATAATCCCAGCACTTAGCTGAGGCAGCAGGATCATCATGAGTTCAAGACCTTCCTAGATGACATAGTCAGTTCAAGGCCATGAACTACATAGCAAAACCTTGTCTCAAAAAACAAACTAAACAAACAAAAAGGTATCAGAGTCCTCCGTATTGAGACACTGAGAAATTATTTCACAAATTCTTTCCTTATTATGCTTTTAAATCAGGACAGTCAAGATCTTAAGGATCTTTCTATATATTCCCAGCACTCACAAGGCTGAGCCTGGAGGATCAGGAGTTTTTGGTCAGCCTGGACTAGACAGCATATTCAAGACCAGGTTGAGCCCGTCTCAAAAACAAAAAGAATCTTTCTATGTTGCAGTCATACAACACTGATAACCACTAAGTAACCTCTAAACTCATTTTAATGGGTTTAATCAAGGTGACCCATACTGAAGCCCATCTTTTCTCATAACATAAAGAGTTTCTGCTAAAGTGCTCCAGGCCATGAGGCAGAGGATCGCCATGAATTTTCGAAAGATCAAACTTCAGCCTACTTTCTACACCTTTCCTCCTAGCTGGGCTACAAAACCAAGTTTAAGGCCAGCCTGCACTACACAGAAGACCCTGTCTCAAAAAAACCAAGAAGGAGGGAAGGAAGGGAAGGAAGGAAGGAAGGAAGGGAAGGAGGGAAGAAGAAGGGAAGAAGAAGGGAAGAAGGGAGGAAGGGAGGAAGGGAGGAAGGGAGGAAGGGAGGAAGGGAGGAAGGAAGGAAGGAAGGAAGGAACAAAGGGTTCAGGTTGCCCTCAAACTCTCACAGTGATGCTCCTGCTTCAGCCTCCCAAGTGGCATGAGCCACCATGCACAGCTTTCCCTCCTGCAACTCAACACTGATTTAAATTATTCCCCTTTACTAGCTACAAAAGCAGTACTACCCAGAGCATGGTAAATTTGGACAATAAGAAAAAAATCATGCAATAAAATGTTTAAGTCTATTTTTTTAAGTTTATTCTTTCATGAGGATTCATCAGGAACCTTGGCATAAAGCAAGGAAAGAAAAATTCCTGAATTTAACCTTTTAGTAGAAATATGTAACACCACAGAAGGGTGGGATGTTGCTGCCCACCAAGATCACGGCCACTGGTAATCCAGCAGTTCCAAAATAAAACATAATGAGGGCTACTTAAAGTTGAAGAAAAAGAAAATAAAGTTGAAGAAAGGCCACCAACCTTAGTTAGAGAGCTAGCTTCCAAGAGTCTATTTATTCCTTCTGAGGAGCCCTAAACAAGGCAGTGGCTGCTACTACCACTTTCCTGAAATCTACCAAGAGTTCATTTCTTACTGACTGGAGTAAGGACTGGGCATGGTCACACATAATCCCAGCACTGTAATCCCAGCATTCAGCAGGCTGGGGAAGGAGGATTGCTGAGTTTGAGGCCAGCCTGAACTACCTAGCAAGACCCTGTCTCAAAAAAACAAAAAACAAACCCCAAAAGAGAGTAAGGCTGCCTACATCAGAATTATGGGGCATGGAAGAAGGTCCAATTAATTCAATCTTTATAATAAAAAGCTAATTACAATTTCCCCAGGTAAATTTTACGCATACTATAGATGGAGAACTACTGTTCTAGAGGGGAATATAAACCGAACTGTTACTACTTAATATTTATTCCTTTTTAAACGTAAAAAAAAAAAACAGCAAAAAACAATAACAATAAAAACAGATAGCTAGGCTAGAGATACAGCTCAGCGGCATAAGCGCCTGCCTCACAAGTGCAATGTCCTAAATTCGGTTCCCTGTACCAAAAAATAAGAAGAAAAAAAAAGCTAAGTAGCGGGACCAGGGGAATAAAAAGCATCATTAAAAATCATATAGCTAACATTTTATCAGACACTTAAACCGGACGTGGTGGCACATGCCTGTAATCCTAGCACTTGGGAGGCTGAGGCAGGAGGATTGTTGTAAGTTCAAGACTAGCCTGGTCTACTACATAGATCAGTTCAAGACCAGCCTGAACTGTATAGTGAGACACTATCTCAAAAAGACCAAAAAAAAAAATCAGACACTTAAGCCAGGCTCTAAGTATTTTTAACGTATTCTTTTATTTAATCTTCAGAAAAACACAGAAGTAGTTATCCATATCTCATAGATTAAAAGAGAGGGGTAGATAGTGTGTGAAAAGTAATTTTGACAAGAGCCTATACAGACGAGGCAGAACAGACATGTTCTCTCAGTGGTGAATGATTTTGGACAAGGGGCAGCACCTATAATAACACACAGTTTAACATCATTTTCTTAACCTAATCACACTGTTATAAATTCCTTGTTCCCAAAGAACTAAGAAGTTACTATCAGGAGTGCCCATATTGTTACCCTGAGAACCCTAACAGAACAGTTTTGGAAAAAGAGGATCTACCAGAATCTATCTAGTCTAGGGTGGTAGCTGCACCTGTGAACCACTCCCTGACCCTGAGCCCACCACAACCAGTTACAGTCATGCCCTAGTACTCCACTGCTTTGAAACTCCTGGAATTTGGAACTCGACAAATTTTGACACAAAAATTTATCCGTGTACTTGTGGTTTGGTACTCCACGCACAAGTTAGAATTTGTAAATGTTGACTGCCTTGTTACTCACTACACTTTCCAGCCAAAACCATGTTTGGTACTGGTGGTGTCACCAGGACCGAATTAGTGAGTACAGCGGTACCACTCTGATTATATGCAGAAGCCTGGTGTGATAAGCCATTTACCAATCAGTTTCAGGGACAGCAGTTCAAGTACCTGCTGCGTTCCTTTTTTCTTGGTAGCATCCCCGTCTTTTCCTATTCTTTTTGTTTCTTTCCCCTCTCGGTTTTCATTGTCAGTTTCAAAGACAATCACCTCTAGATAAGAACAAATATCGTCCCAAATAATACCAATTTCTGTTACCAGAGACAGTGTCTTTCTTGACTTTTCTGTCTCCCTGTTTTGTTTTGTTTTTTGAGGCAGGGTCTTGCCAATGTAGTTCAGGCTGGTCTTAAACTCAGGTTGACCTGGCACTCACAGCAATCCTCCTGCCTCAGCCTCCCAAGTGGTGGGATTACAGGTGTGCACCACCACACCTAGCTTTCTGCCTAATTACCAAGCTATGTTATGTTCTGGAAATGTTTTAAATTTCTCAATAATTCCCGGATGTGCCTTCAGGTCTCCGCTGTCAGCTTTATCATTCCCTCCACACCAACTCCCTCTCAACCAAAATATGTTCTTAATAGCCTAAATTTTTTCTCCTGATGTTCTTTCTCCATCCAGAACTCTGTGCACTTTCTCTGTCAGCAAACTAAACTCTAGAAGTTTTCTGTTGTTTCGTTTTGGGGATGTGTTTGTTTTTGTACTGTGGTTTGAACCCAGAGCCTCCGTACTGAGTTATATCTCCAGCCCTTTTTTGAGGCACTCCCGGCTTCTAAAAGCAAAACAATTTTTAAAAGACAGTTCCACCACCAAACCTTCTGCAAAGCCTTCTGACTTCCCAAATGTACCGGTGGAAAAGAAAACACGTGGTTGCCTCCAGGGTTGCGAGGTGCAGATGCTGAGGAACGCAGGGGTGTCAGTGACGACCCTACTCCGCAGTTCCGCTCCGCTTAAGTCAGCTGTGCAGCGCAGGCCGGGCCTCGAGTTCCCACGGCCTCGCAGAGGAAACCCGCGCCGCTGCCCCGCAGCCCCTCTGCGCACACCGAGAGCCGAGAGCCGA